CTTCACAATCTATACATCCAAGGACCAATATCTAGAATCATTGGATATTGATTATATCCAATGTAACTCAAATAAATCAGCAAGGAAAAAAAAAATCTCATCAAAAAGTGGGCTAAGGACATGAATAGGCAATTCTCAAAAGAAGATATACAAATGGTTGACAAGCATATGGAAAAATGCTCAGCATCTCTAATGATCAGAGAAATGCAAATCGAAACCATAATGCAATACCATCTCACTTCTGCAAGAATGGCCATAATCAAAAAATAAAAACAAAAATAGGTGTTGGCATGAATGGTGTAAAAAGGGAACTCTTACACTGTTGATGGGAATGTAAACTAGTACAACCATGGAAAATAATGTGAAGATTTCTTTAAAAAGTAAAAGTAGATCTATCATTTGATTCAGCAATCCCACTACTAAATACCCAGAGAAAAAGTCATAACACACACACAGAAATTACACATTCATGTTTATAGCAGCACAATTTGCAGTTGCAAAAATATGGAACCAGCCCAAATGCCCATCAATCAACAAGCAGATAAAGAAAATGTGGTATATACATACCATGGAATACTACTCAGCCATAAAAAGGAATGAAATAATGACATTCACAGCAACCTGAATGGAATTGAAGACTATTATTCTAAGTAAAATAACTTAGGAATGAAAAACCAAGCATCATATATTCTCATTCATATGTGGGAGCTATGAGGGTGCAAAAGCATAAGAATGGTACATTGGACTTTGGGGACTCAGGGGAAAGGGTGGGGGTGGCAAGGAATAAAATACTACACATTGGGTACAGTGTACACTGCTTGGGTGGTGATGGGTGCACCAAAATCTCAGAAATCACCACTAAAGAATTTATTCAAACACCACCTGTTCCCCCAAAACTTATTGAAATTTTAAAATTAAAAATTAAAAAGTTTTAAATTAGTAGCATTTCTATATGTCAACAATGAATGATGTATAAAATAAATTTTAAAATTACCCCATTTACAATAGCCACACACAAAATTAAATATGTAGGAATTAATCAAAGAGATGAAAGATCTGTATAATGAAAAATATAAAATACTGAAGAAAGAAATTAAAGAGGATGCCCCAAAAAAATGAAAAGATAATCCATGTCACAGATTGGAAGAATCAATATTGTTAAAATATTCATAGTATCCAAAGCAATCTACAGATTCATTGCAATCCCTATCAAAATAGCAATGACATTCTTCACAGAAATAGAAAAAAAATCCTAAAATTTGTGTAGAACTACAAAAGATCCAGAATAGCCAAAGTTATTTTAAGCAAAAAAGAACAAAAATGGAGGAATCAAGCTACCTAACTTCAAATTATACTACAGAGCTACAGTAACCAAAACAGCATGGTAGCGGCATAAAAACAGACACACAGACCACTGCAACAGAAGAGAGCACCCAGAAACAAATCCACACACCTATAGTGAACTCATTTGCGACAATGGTGCTAAAAACATACACTGGGGAAAAGAGAGTGTCTTTCATAGTGCTGGGAAACTGGATATCCATGTGCAGAAGAATGAAACTAGATCCCTATCTCTTGCCATATACAAATAAATCAAATCAAAATTGATTTAAAAAATTAAATATAAGATGTCAAACAATGAAACTAAAAGAAAACATTGGGGAAAATCTCCAGGACATTGGTCTGGGCAGAAATTTCTTGAGCAATATCCTACAAGCACAGGCAACCAAGGCAAAAATGGACAAATGTGATCACATCAAGTTACAAAGTTTCTGCACCACAAAGGATATAATCAACAAAGAGACAACCCAAAGACTGAGAGAAAGTATTTACAAACTACCCATCTGACAAGGGATTAATCACCAGAATATATAAAGACCTCAAACATTTATAGGAAAACAAATCTATTAATCTGATAAAAGTGAGCAAAAGGTTTGTATAAACATTTCTCATAATATGACATACAAATGACAGACAGGCATATGGAAATGTGTTCAACATCATTGATCAGAGAAATGTAAATCAAAAGTACAATGAGATATCATCTCACCCCAGTTAAAATGGCTTGTATCCCAAAGATAAGCAATAACAAATGTAGGTGAGAATGTGGAGAAAAGAAAACTCTTATATACGGTTAGTGAGAATATAAGTTAATACAACCACTATGGGGGACACCTTGAAAGTTCCCTAAAGAACTAAAAATAGAGCTACTATGTGAACCAGTAATCCCACTGCTGAGTGTATACCCAAAAGAAAAGCAATCAGCATGTTGAAGAGATATCTACACTTCCTTGTTTGTTGCAGCACAGTTCACAATAGCTAAGGTTTGGAAGTAACATAAGCATCCACTTTATCCAGATGGATGGATAGAGGCAATGTGATACATATCCACAATGGAGTACTACACGGCCATAAAAAAAGAGTAAGAGCCTATCATGTGCAACAACACGGAGGGAACTGGAGGTCATTTAGTGAAATGAGCCTGGCAGAGAAACGAACATCGCATGTTCTCACTTATTTGTGGGAGCTAAAAATCAAAACAATTGAACTCATGGACATAGAGAGTAGAAGAACGGCTATCAAAGACTAGGAAGGGGAGTGGGAAGTTGGGGGAGGTGTGGATGGTTAATGCATACAAAAAATAGTTAGAATAAAATGAATAAGACCAACTATTTGACAGCACAACAGGGTGACTGTAGTCAATAATAACTTAATGGTGCATTTTTAAATAACCAAAAGGGACTAATTAGATTCTAACTCAAAGGATACATGCTTGAGAGGATGGCAACCCCATTATCCATGTGATTATTATGCATTGCATGTATGAATCAAAACATCTCACGTACTTCATATATATACCTACTATGTATCCACAATAATTAAAATTTTTAAAATTTTTGTAAAACTAAAATAGTGTCAGCTACCAGTGAAACAAACTAATAGGCTCATTTTTATCAATAAAATACACTGAGACAGTCAGCTGTATATATAAATATACATTGCATGACATATCTACTCACATGAAAGAACAGAACACCGTCTATTGGTCAGACAGCTCTCAGGGCTGGACTTCCGCATATTTTCTAACATCTTTACTCTCATCGGAAAGTCCTGGCAGCCAAACGAATGTCAGAGAACTTTAATCTCTGTAGCCAGCTAGACTTACCTTTCAAGGGGAACATCTTACTGGGATGTAAGTTCTGATCATCGAAACCACTGGTTGATATTTGATGAAACTCTCAACAAAAATGCCGCATGGGTGTTCCTGAAGAGAAAAAAAAAAAAAAAAAAAAACTGTGAACTTGGTTTCCTTAAATCTAATGGTTCAAAAATAAAAGTTAGAGTTTTTAAAATTCAGGAATTAAGTCAAAGGACAACAGAGTTAAGTGATAAAATGTTTACATTTAGAAAACACCCAAGTAATAGCTGCTGACATTATGTCACAGACATTTTGTTGCCTGCCAGTGTGTAGACACCTCCTGATCACGTTTGTTTGAGCGTAAAGGTCTGATTTTGACAGGCCTGTATTATAGGACAGGCTCAGCAACTTACTATGGGTATGAATTTGGACGAAATATCTCATCATTTCAGAGCAGGTTCTACATTCCCTACTAATAAAATGGAGATAATATAACTCAGGGGTTGTTAAACTGGCCAGAGAATATTTCAGTCTTTGCAGACTGTACTATCACTCTTGAAAATACAGACATACCTCATTTTATTGCATTTCACTCTATCATTCTTTGCAGATATTACATTTCCTACAAACTAAAGACATGTAGCAATTCTGCATTGAGAAAGTTGAGCACCATTTTTCCAACATGTCCTCACTTCGTGTCTGTGTCATATTTTCATGATTCGCACAGTATTTCTAGTTTTTCAGTATTGTATGTGTTGGCACCAGGAACCAAGTTCATAAAGACAGGAAACGTAATAAATGTTGTGTATATTCCTACTGCCCCACTGACCAGCTTTCTTGTCTCTCTTCCCCTTCTCAGCCCTGTCTATTCCCAGAGACAGCAACATTAAGACGTTAATTAATAACCCTACAATGGCCTCTAAGTGTTCACATGAAAGGAAGAGTTGCACATTTCTTACTTCAAATCAAAATATAGAAATGGTTAAGCTTAGCGAGGAAAACATGTCAAAAGCCAAAATCAGCCAAAAGCTAGGCCTCTTGTGCCCAACAGTTGAGTTTTGAATGAAAGGAAAAGTATCGAAGGAAATCAAAAGCAATCATAAATAATACAGGAACCAACTGGAATTGTATTTCCTCTCAATTCTAGCCTTTTGATAGGCGCAGGATGGATGAACCTAAATCCCCAAACTGATTTGAAATTGCTAACACACAGAAAAGGAAAGTGATACAGAGGGGAAGAAAAATACAGAAAAGTGAAGACTGAAATAGTCTACTTTCTAAACCAATTACAAAGAAAATTGATTTCATCTTATTTTACACATATCATTAGAAGTCAGTGAAATGGGGATCAACTGGAGAATTAGATTACATTAGTTCCCATTATCCATAGGAGATGCTTTCCAACACCCTCAGGGAAGTCCTGAAATCAGGGTTAGTACCAAACCCTATGTATATACTATAATTTTTCTTATATGTATCTATGATAAAGTTTCATTAGGCACAGTAAGACATTAACAATAATAAAATGTAAAATATTCTACAACAAGACTTACGTGAATGTGTATCTCTTTCCTTGGAGTAGGTAACAAGTATGAAATGGGATTATGAATTTCCATGAAGATACTAAGAATATTTTAGTATTTTGAGACCACAGTTAACTGCGAGTAACTGAAACCATGGGAAGCAAAACTTAATAAGGGAGGACTACTGTAAATTAAATACTCAATTGTTACCAAAAACAGATTATGATAGGTAAGCCTGTTCACAAAATGCAATTGCCTCACACTTTATAATGCTCTGTGAAGCAGGAATTAAGCTTTCTTTAAAAATTACAAATAACTATTAAGAATTGTAAAAGTTTATTTAAAAATATATTTATTACAAGTTTAAAATATGGGAAGGAAAGGCTTTTCTCCCTACCCGAACAGTTCATAAATACGGACAACAGAGCCCATTTCTCATTTAAAAATATCACATTTGAAATGATAAAAGACAATATCCAGTGACTAGTCCAACTTCTAAAAGGCAATGAAATCTTCAAGCAGCGAGAATACCAGGTGAAGTAGGGTTGCCTCATCATCCAGAATGCACCCAGCTTTATTCTTGCACTTAGGAAGGGATAACATTATGTAGTTCAACAAGGGAATACTGTTCCTGTAAGGAAGGAAAAGAAACAGTCACATTGTTGTACTGATGGGAAACTACTATCCAACTAAAGAACCACTGAAGCTCAACAAAATGGGGAAGTGGGAAAAGAAGGCATCAAGTTTAAACCCCAGGAACCATTATAATATTCTAATGACTCAACTATCACAAATACCATATACACATGTATGCACACATATATATATTGTGTGTATATATAGCTATTAGTTATCAAATGCTTAGTAAATGACTTAGCAAATGATTATAAATTGTACATGAGTGTACCATCTCAAGTTTAGAATTATGAGGGTTGGTCAATTTGTGGAATAAGGGCCTGTCCCTCTAGCATACTGAAGTCCAAAGATTATAGCCTATTTGAATAGTCTTACAGCTCATTTGAGTTTTCTCTTGCAGGCATTTAGTTCTTCCAGAACAAAAAGCTGAAATTAGAGCTAACATAGTATGGGACTCTATGATCCCATTGCATACTTAGATTACATGCTCCAAAGATGGTTTTTCCCTAGCTGAAAGAAATTGACAAAAGACATGTTGAGGTTACAATTGTAAATCTCTTTTACATAAGGAAATAAGACACGCCAAGATAAAAATATATCCTTAATAACCATAAAAAAGGCAATATTCCTGGGCAATAGTACACAAAGTGTGTCATATGTCGCCACCTTACTAAACCCTGGCCTTTTTTATATGAATGTACTTGTAAACATTTATGGTCCTAATTCAAAATACTCTTACGCATAAGATGCTCTTGGATGGATTCCCAAGTCCTTAACTTCCTGTGATAGTGAGCGATGCTGCCCCACTGGCCTTCTGCATTCACGTCTATTATTCTCTCTCCTTCTCATCACGAAGATTATTGGAAACCTTCTGAACAAGAGAAAAAAAATACATGGATTTAAGTTTTCTGTCTATTATGCTTTTGGGGGTGGATAAAAAGTTGAACTGTGGAGAAAGAATCTAAATTAGACAGATGTCTTTTGGCTGTGAGAGAATGCCAAATCCGCTAGCTTAGACCAATATGAAAATTTGTTATTTCACAGAACATGAGAAAAAAGTTACAGAAGGTTAAATACAACTTTTCATTTTCCCAAAATGTACTATTGTGATCTGAAGCTAATTTCATAGACTTTCAAATACCAAAACCTCTTAATAAGTGGCTGAAGCAGCTCTTATCTCTAATCATCTCACCAGACATCTGCAGAGAATTAGAAGCATGCAGTTCTGAGTTCTTGGCCTATGACAGAGGGATAAGTGAGGTCACTAAAATTCTCCCTCCCTTAATGAAGCCAAATAAGGGTGTTTTTATCAGATTCTCCAACACTGAGGTGTCTACAGCAAGAGGATAACATTTTACTCCTAAGTATCTGCCTATACATGTGAGAGACATGGAGGTGTAGAAAAGGGGACAGAACGGGCATATTCTCCACCATGTATTGTAGTATGACTAAGTAATTTCCCCCACAGGTACCAACATTTTAGCCATATTTCCAGGATATCACTCAAGATTACCTGTCAACTGGAGAGGGGACCTCAAGAAGCCAACATACTGGAATGAAAAACAACCAAGACAGAAAATGAGGAGGTTGTGTGGAGGCCCATGGTAGCATTTGTATGGACGAAGAAGTAAGTCTTGTCCAGACTGGTTCATCAGGAAATATGCAGTTGTAATGACTACCCCCTTTCTAAGGACTCAAAAACACACATCCATAATTCAAGGTAAACTTCTGGGTGAAGGTATAATTATCTAGCCAGCATTGCTAGAAATGGACTGCAATTACACCATGTAACCATGAGATGATTGTGACCCAACCTCTTTCATCCTATCATACCCACCAGCAAAACATGCAAATAAAAGCAGCAGAGGGAAATGTACTACTCAGATTATCCTGAACTATCTTCCTTTCCAAATCTTTTGGGTGCTCTGTGAAACTCTAGGAGTCCTAAAGGAAACCTAAATTTGAATTAACATTGGAGATAGGGACCTGACTTGATTTTCACTTATGAGAAGGACCAGAGATGCTGTTAAAGAATAAGAAAAGCAGATATCACACAGTACAGTTGAAGTCAGCGGTTGTAAGATAAATATAGCCATTAAATTCTGTGTCTCCAGAAGTCAGACTGTTCAAAATAGGTTGGAATGAATACTCTAGGGGTGGAGAGAACACACATGCAATTGGGCCTTGGGAACAGCTCACCCAGGGACTTGACCACAAGCAGAATTACCGCCACCTTCATCAACAGGCTCTCCTGCCTTCTTCTCTCATAGCAGAGAAGTTTCTCCAATAAGGAGGGAATTTTGGACATTAGAAAGTCTTGATTTTTTTTTATATTGCAGAACCTGACAAATCTGAGACTCAGTTCTAGTTTTAAAATTGTGAGAAAATAGGCCGGGCGCGGTGGCTCAAGCCTGTAATCCCAGCACTTTGGGAGGCCGAGGCGGGTGGATCACGAGGTCAAGAGATCGAGACCATCTTGGTCAACATGGTGAAACCCCGTCTCTACTAAAACTACAAAAAATTAGCTGGGCATGGTGGCGCGTGCCTGTAGTCCCAGCTACTCAGGAGGCTGAGGCAGGAGAATTGCCTGAACCCAGGAGGCGGAGGTTGCGGTGAGCCGAGATCGCGCCATTGCACTCCAGCCTGGGTAACAAGAGCGAAACTCCGTCTCAAAAAAAAAAAAAAATTGTGAGAAAATATCGATTTTGAATCTCTTGGCTCCTCCCCACATCTGCAGAAAGGTGGTATGGTTTGTCCAAAAACTTAAGAGCTCCTATGATAGTCACAGATGAGGCAGGATGGGTGGGTCCGGACAGGGAACACCACAGAAAAGGAAAGATTATCAACAAAGCCTTCTGATATAATCTGTTTAGTGACTGTAGAATTCAATTCTCATATAGCAACTGAGCCTTTTCTACTCATTCAGAAATTACATTGAGACAATCAACAAAATTTTTTTTAGATCACTCAAATGACCAAACAGAACACCATATATCAAATTTGATCCAACTGTAGCATAAAGTCCAGCCGTTTAGCTGATCAGAACACCTAGAAGCCAAAGATAATGTTAGATAGCCTGAATCTCAGTAGTCTGCTGCACCTACCTTTGAATATAGCATGATACTGGGATGTGTACATCGAAGTCAAAATTCGCCGAGTTATATACGATTGCACTTTCAATGAGAATACCTACTGGCTGTTCCTAAAGGTGTAAAGAATATAAATTATCTTAATTATATCTCTTTCAAATGATTTAAAATCCCATTTTTAAAATAGAGATTAAAAACAAAATAATTTTTATTTTATTTTTACCTTATAAAGTAAAGTAGGTATGAGTGCAAGGCATACAATGGAAGAGCAGAGCTAAGTGATAAAAATGCCTGGTCTGAGCAGACATTAACAGCCCCTGCCATAGGAGCAGGGACATTGTATTTGGCAGTTGAATCTGCAAAGACAACTTTTGATCACCACATTTAAGGGTCAGAGTCTGACTTAGGCAGACCTGAATTATTTCGTGTGAATTTCAGCTAGATATTTGACAGCTTTAGAAAAGCAGTTGAGTCAGCCTCATGCTAAGTTGAGTACTTGGCAAATGCTAGATTTTTTTTTTTTTTTTTTTTTTTTTTTTTGATGCCAGATATAGCAGCAAACAAATGGAGTCATGCACCTGGATCCAATAATAGAATCTGCTCACCTAAACAATCTTTACCAGAAACAGATGTGACTCCAAAAAGGAAAAACTAAGCCGTTATTACAAAACACAGCAACAAGTTATTATTTTAAAAAAAGTTTCCTGGTGACAGAAAAGATTGATTTCTCTTATTAATACAGGAGCTATATAATCTGATATACCCAATTTTCCCTCCAAATTTTAGGTCAACAACAAAAGAGTGGGCTATTTGTGGTACTGTTTGAAAGCAAAATGTTTCCCCTCAAACTAGATTTTACCAGAGAATATTAAAAAAAAAAAAATCACTATTACAGGCAAAAGAGATATGTTGCCAAAAAATAGGCTTTGTTGTTGTTGCTGTTGTTCTTTGAGATGGAGTCTCATTGTCGCCCAGGCTGGAGTTCATTGGCACGATCTTGGCTCACTGAAACCTCCACCTCCCAAGTTCAACCAATTCTCCTGCCTCAGCCTCCTGAGTAGCTGGGATTACAGGTGCACACCACCATGCCTGGCTAATTTTTATATTTTTAGCAGAGACAGGGTTTCACCATGTTGGTCAGGCTGGTCTCAAACTCCTGACAGTGTTATCTGTGATCCACGTCCCCACCCCCCTCAGCCTCCTCAGCCTCCCAAAGTTATGGGATTACAGGTGTGAGCCTCCACACCTGGCCTGAAAAAATAGTTTTTGAAATAGGAACCCCAAATCTTGTTTTTCCTACAGATAGAAGCAATATCCAAAAATGTTGAAGAGAGTAGTCAATATTACATGAACTATTAAATCAACCGACATTAAAATTTGAATAGTGCAGTTTTAGTCATTGGTTTCTAGACCAAAAACCATCAAAAGATATACTGTTTTTTGAAATAATAACTGCTCTTACAGTCACTACGATGCCACAAAAAGTTAGAAGATAAAAGAACACAAAGAAATCCGGCTCCACGAGGTTTACAGGACAGCCACTTCCTAGAAAGAGTTCATGTTGCAAAGGTTGCAGGTCATTTATCAGGGGCCTTTGTCTAAATTTGACCTGGAGCCAGGATTCAGTACAGGTTACAGCCACTGTTGAAAGAAAAATTTTAAAAGGGAAAATGTCAAATAGTGTGTCTGCTCCCAAACAAATAGCTGAGGAAACTTTCAACCTCTTGAGCTGAATTCCCAACTGTAGACTGAAAACGTTTTGTTTCTATTTGTATATTTTTCTACTGGGAGATTTTGGGTCGATTACTTAATCTCTATGTGTCTGTTTTTTTCATCAGAATGTGGAAAAATGGTAGAAGCACTTCTTGAGAATTTCTAACCTAAATAAGTCAAATATCCCAACATGCACACTTTTTTTTTTAGGGATTGTTCGAATTTTACTAACAGGTCTCATGACTACATTTCTGAAATATATCTAGGTGTAAAAGTGATATCTGAAATAGAGAAACAAGAAAAAGCATTGATATTTGGTTGCACACAGTGTAAAAATACATCGTGCTTCTACTGAAAATTTTATTTTGCATCAAAATATTTGAGCCAATAAATATTAACTGGTATGTGAAATTAAAGAATTCTGAAACAAAATAATATTGCAGTTCCTTTGATAATATTTTTAGGATTTTCAACTATGTTAAGTTTCGGTTTGGTGTCTTCATTTTCACTACATTTCCATGACGTCAATTTTATTATTATGCCACATTTACACACAGATAAATTTAGTCACATAGCTGCTAAGTGGCAGATCAGGATTAAAACCTATGCAAAATCTAGTCAGAGCCTCAACTCCGAAAAGGAATCATTTACAATTGAATACAGCTGACCACTCTGTCCAATCTTCATACGCCATGGCCAGAAATGTGGACCTAGGTAACCTCCTCTCCTAGGCACCAGGCAGTCTCTGCTGATTTTGCCAGTCACTATAAGTATTTCGCATTCAGCAAAGTAACAAGCTAGTATCCAGCAGAGAACCTGGAAATACTTTGCATGTAAGAAAAATTTAAAACAGCATCTCGAGATTAGCTTAGAGGAAAAATTCAAAAGGAAGTACAGGGGTAAAGATAAAACTATGTCTGGTTCTAACTTTGCAGTCATTAGTTACTAGCAGTTGATCACCAGATTATGAAAACAAACGTCCAAAGTCAACAATATGTTTTTTTAAAAGCCCTGCTGTTTAAAATTGCCACCTCCAAAAATTCCCTCTTTGTATTACCATCTTGGAGACCATGAATCAACTTGAAAAGCATGAGGAGCTCTCCTAACATGAAAGATATCTTCATTGCTTCAGATTCCAGCCCAAGGTATCACAGGAAACAGAAAATCTAGGGAAGTGGGCCTCTGCAGGTGTTTATAAACCTCTTGCCTCCTCAGGTGTGAGTGATGATTTATCATTCTGGAAAGCACTGAGAAGCCCTTAGCATAAATCCTCACAGCTGAAGTTATTAGATTGGTGCAAAAGTAATTGCATTTTTTGCCTTTGAAAGATAAATCAGAAAATCCGGAAAGAACATGTGGAAAGTGATTCTAGGCTGCACCCCCTAACACTGTGTCTTTTTTCTCAATCATGTGGATGTGTCTGAAATTAAGTCTGACATAATATTTGATATTTATCTATTGAATTGTTAAAGTAGGGCTTTGCAAGATGATTTGAGAAATTCAAGTGGGTGATACAAAGGGATTATTTATAAAGTGAATAACAGTACCGCATATTATATTCACTCTGCATTTTTGTGAAGAAAAAAAAAAAGCTATTGCTCTACCTCCCAACCAATGATTCAGATCCAATAAGCCTGGGACCAGATGTACTCACTAATTGGTGCTTGCAATCAGCTTCAGGAGGCTTTGATTAGGTGAACAAATCCACACACCTGTGGTCTAAGCCAAACTAATCCTTTTTGGTTTAATTTTGCTTTCTCTAGAAGCACTTTATTATGAATGTGCCCATATCTAGAAAGCTAAAGAAATATTCGCTAAGGGCATTTTTTGACAATTAAATCTAGTAATGAAAAATTGTAAGAAAAAAGGGATAATGGATAAGAATAACATTACCTGATTCTACATTTTGGTAGAAGTCAACCTCCAAAAAACTTCATCTCAAAAGCAAAAGCCTAATAAGTTATTTTTAGAAATTGTGTAGCATATCACATAGAATGCCTCAGCTTCTAAGTAAAAAATAATTGTTGTTTTTAGCTATGTAATTCTCCAGGATTATGAACCGATGTAACAAAGAGCAAGCAAAAATATCTATGAACATCAGGAACCTCGAAGTACTTTCTACTATTTTTATTAAATTGCATGTTCTTTAAAATTAGTTGGATTTCATGTTAAGGTATCTAATACTTAAATTATATTTGGGAATGAAAGCCTTACAGTAGATTCAATTTGTGAAGAATATTTCAATGGTTTTTATTTGAAAATACTTATCTGTTTTCTTATTTAAGAGGTGAATGAATATGTTATTTTAAATAGCTAACTACATAGAAGTAGATAAAATAATACTGGAATTTCTAATTCCAATAACTTACATGCTTTCCTCCTCTATTGAAATAACCACTAATTTTTATAAGTGTTAAATTCACATAAACAGTTTTAAAGTATATAATTCAGTGGCACTTGGTACATACACATGTGTGCAACCATCACCCTTAGAGTTGCAAAATATTTTCATCATCCCCCCCAAAGGAAAACGTATACTTTTTAAGCAACTCCCCACTCCTCCTTTCTCCCAGCCTGTGGCAAGCACCAAGTTACTTTCTATCTCTTCAGATTTACCTATTCTGGACATTTTGTAAAACTTGAATCATACTCTTAACTTAAAAAATCATGCTATTTATTTACTTATTTACAAATTAAGGAGGCTTTATTTCTTATAAAGGGTTATAGACTGGAAGATGGCCATCCTAACAGGCTGGGATGCATAGCCTCCAGCAGAGCCTGAAAGGCAGGCACATTGCAGGAAAGGAGGCGTGAGACAGGAATTTATGCTGACTGGGTTGGCCAAGTATACATATTCAACAGGTTATAGGAGAAGCTATGAATATTCATTGAGGTGGTCCTAACACATAAGTGCTGAATAAACATGCATGTTATATATGACCCCTGTTCACTCTGGGGTGGAGACTTAACATTCAAATGTATTACAATTAGGCCCTATACATCTAAAGGTCTTGCCAGGACAGAAAGTTATGCAAGTGTGCAACCTCTGTTAGCTGGCCAGAACCAGTCCTTGGTCAGTCCTATCTTATCAGGAGAAAGTTGCTGAAATGAGTCTCTTGCCCAATCAAAGCTGTAGTTACAGCTTGTGGCACAGGAAGGTCAGTTAGCCTCTGGCAGTGGATGAGCTGTAATTGTTTTAATATTGCTTATCTCAAGGCCAGTGCTTGTTTAGCTTCTGGGAAAAAAAGAAAAAAAAAAAAAAACAACCCTGTGGCAGTTAGAACAAAGTTTATTCTTTAAGCGTAGGGGTGCGTGACTTAGCCATTATTTGCCATGGCCTTGGGTCCTCTTTATAATTTGGTATGTTGTTACCACAAAGAGTTTGCTGTGTCAGCCTTATGATCTCTTTTTTAACATTAATGCTGGTCAGGTGTTCTGTCTAAACCACAGAAGGGAAGTGGTGTAACAAGGCATGTCCAACCCCCCATCCCATAATGGCTGGGAACATAGTTCTTAGGGTTTCTCTGGGGTTCTCTGGCCAAGAAGGGGGTTCATTCAATCAGTTGAAGGCCTAGAATTTTATTCTTAGTTCACATGGTGTCATGAATCCATACTTCATTTATTTTTATGGCTGAATAGTTTTCCGTTGCATGAGTATGGCACATTTGGTTTAGTCATTCATCAACTGATAAGCTTAATGGGTTGCTACCATCTTTGTGAATAGTACTACGCTGAAAGCACTTGTTCAACATTGTTTGAATACCTGTTTTCAATTATTTTGGGTATATGACTCAGCTTTAATCGCCTCCCATTCATCTCCTTGCTGAGGGAGAGATTCCTATTTTAGGGTTATGGTGATAGCCAAACACACAACACCTGACACTGAGCAGATGCACTCAAAAGCAATTCATTGGTATGTACATTCAGGCCTTGGAGAGAATGCCACACAGCACATGGGTCCACACAAGGACTGCACTTAGGAGCAGAGGGAAAAACCAGGGGCTCTGGGACACAAGCTTTGTAATATCAAGAGGGTGAGGTGACCCCTAGATCCCACAGGAGCATATGATTGACTTGTTTGAATAATTCTACAGGCTGCCAGGGAACTGAAACCCACTGTTCAGAGATAAGCGGGAACTGTATCTGGTCTCCTTGATAACCAGAGTTGTTTAGCAGGGATCTTATCTGCAGGGGCAGAGTAGGGAGGGAAATGTGCAGTTAGGCCATGATAGCCCTTCCGCTTTCACCAGATGCCGAGATAGCACGTGATATCAGGCCTTAATATTAGTCCTTACATAACAAGCTAGAAGTGAAACTGCCAAACTCCCCCACGGTGGCTGTGTTATACAGCCACTGTGAAATACAACAGATTTCAGTTTTGTTTTAAACAGAAAAATTATTCAGCTAAAAAAACTTGAGAAAAAGTTAAAGTCCCAGGCTTAAAAATGACAATGTGTGATGTCTTTTATGAAGTGTATGTGCTGGTTAAATTAGTTATGCCTATCAACCTTGTTACTGTTTTCTTCTGAGATGGAGCCTCACTGTGTTGCCCAGGCTGGAGGGCAGTGGTGCAATTTCAGCTCAATGCAAGCTCCGCCTTACATTTCTTTTTTGTTTTGTTTTGTGTATTTTTAACTTTTAAGTTCAGGTCTACAAGTACAGGTTTGTTACATAGGTAAATTTGCGTCATGGGTGTTTGTTGTTCTGATTATTTCATCACCCAGGCATTAAGCCCAGTACCCATTAGTTATTTTTGCTGACTCTCTCCCTCCTCCCACCCTCCACCCTCCAAAAGGCCTCATTGTGTGTTGTGCCCCTCTATGTGTTCTTGTGTTCTCATCATTTAGCTCCCACTTGTAAGTAAGAACATGTGGTATTTGGTTTTTTGTTTCTGCATTAATTTGCTAAGGATGATGGCCTCCAGCCCCTCCATGTCCCTGCAGAGGGCATGATCTTGTTCTTTTTTATGACTGCATAGTATTTCATGGTGTACCAGATTTTATTTAACCAGTCTATCATCAACGGACATTTAGGTTGATTCCACATCTTTGCTATTGTAAATAGTGCTGCAATTAACATACACACGCATGTCTTTATAATAGAAAAATTTCTATTACTAGGTATATAGGTATATACCTAGTAATGAGATTGCTGGATCAAATGGTATTTCAGTCTTTAGGTCTTTGAGAAATCTCCACACCGTCTTCCACAATGGTTGGACTAACTTACACTCCCACCAACAGTGTATAAGCATTCCTTTCTCTCTACAGCCTCACCAGAGTTTGTCATTTTTTGGCTCTTTAATGGTAGCCATTCTATCTAATGTTAGATGGTATCTCAATGTGGTTTTAATTTGCATTTCCCTAATGATCAATGATATGAAACTTTTTTCATATGATTGTTGGCCACATGTATGTCTTGAAAAGTGTCTGTTCATGCCCTTTGCACACTTCTTATGGGGTTTTTTCTTCTAAATTTGTTTAAGTTTCTTATAGATCAGATATTAGACCTTTGTCAGATGCATAGTTTGGAAAAGTTTCTCCAATTCTGTAGGTTGTCTGTTTACTCTGTTGATGATTTCTCTTGCTGTGCTGAAGCTCTTTAGTTTAATTAGATTCCATTTGTCAATTTTTGCTTTTGCTGCAATTGCTTTTGGTATCTTTGCAGCACTATTCACAATAGCAAAGACGTGGAATCAACCTAAATGTCCATTGATGATAGGTTGGATAAATAAAATGTGGTACAGCATGAAATCTTTGCCTGTGCCTATGTCCTGAATGGTATTGCCTAGGTTGTCTTGCAGAGTCTTTATAGTTTTGGGTTTAATATTTTAGTTGATTACATTAACTCATAATCTACATTATGTATTTATCCTAATGCTATCCTGCTCCTTACCACCCGCCTCTCCAACAGGCCCTGGCATGTGATGTTTCCCGAATTCTTTTTATGGCTGCACAGTATTCCACAGTGTATATGTGCCACATGTTCTTTACCCAGTCTATCATTGATGGGCATTTGGGTTGGTTCCAAGTCTTTGCTATTGTAAATAGCACTGCAATAAATGTACGTGTGCATGTGTCTTTATAGCAGAATGATTTACGATCCTTTGGGTATATACCCAGTAATGAGATTGCTGTGCCAAATGGTATTTCTAGTTCTAGATTCTTGAGGAATCGACACACTGTCTCCCACAATGGTTGAGCTAATTTATAGTCCCACCAACAATGTAAAAGCATTCCTATTTGTCCACATCTTCTCCAGCATCTGTTGTTTACTGTCTTTTTAACGATTGACATTCTAACTGACATAAGATGGTATCTCATTCTGGTTTTGATTTGCATTTCTCTAATGCAGTGATGTTTAGCATTTTTTCATATGTTTGTTGGCCCCATAAATATTCTCCTTTAAGAAGTGTCTGCTTATATCTGTGGCCCAATTTTGATGGGGTTGTCTTTTTTTCCTGTAAATTTGTTTAAGTTCCTTGTAGATTCTGGATATTAGCCCTTTGTCAGATGGTTAGATTGCAAATATTTCATCCCATTCTGTAGATTTCCTATTCACTCTGATGATACTTTCTTTTGCTGTACAGAATCTCTTTAGTTTAATTAGATCCCATTTGTCCATTTTGGCTTTTGTTGCCATTGCTTTTGGTATTTTAGTTATGAAGTCTTTCCCTGTGCCTATGTCCTGAATGGTATTGCCTAGGTTTTCTTCTATGGTTTTAGGTCTTACATTTAAATATTTAGTTCATCTTGAGCTAATTTTTGTATAAGGTGTAAGAAAGGGATTTTGTTTCAGTTTTCTGCATATGGCTAGCCAGTTTTTTCAACACCATTTATTAAATAGAGAATCCTTTTCCCATTGCTTGTTTTTGTAAGGTTTGTAAAAGGTCAGATGGTTGTAGATGTGTGGTGTTATTTCTGAGGCTTCTGTTCTGTTCCATTGGTCCATATATCTGTTTTAGTACCAGTACCATGCTGTTTTAGTTACTGTAGACTTGTAGTATAGTTTGAAGTTAGGTAGCATGGTGCCTCCAGCTTTGTTCTTTTTTCTTAAGATTGTATTGGCTATACGGGCCTTTTTGGTTCCATATGAAACTTAAAGTAGTTCTTTCTAATTCTGTGAAAAAAAGTCAATGGTAGCTTGATGGGAATAGCATTGAATCTATAAATTACTTTGGGCAGTATGGCAATTTTCATGATATTGATTCTTCCTATCCATGAGCATGGAATGTTTTTCCATTTGTTTGTGTCCTCTCTCACTTCCTTAAGCAGTGGTTCATAGTTCTTCTTGAAGAGGTCACATCTTTTGTAAATTATATTCCTAGGTATTTTATTCTTTTTGTAGCAATTGTCAATGGGAGT